AAGATCTACACGACAATATTGGCAAGAAGGATAAACAGCGAGATAGAAGAAGAAGGAATGATACCAGAAAACCAGGTTGGATTCAGAAGAGGGAAAGGGACTATGGATAATATATATATATTAAACTTTCTGATAAACAAACAGATAGAAAGAAAGAAGGGGAAATTAGTTGCGTTATTCATAGACCTTAAAGCGGCATTTGACACGATAAACAGGGAAACGCTGATGGAGGCAATGAGGACGAGAGGGTTAAGAGAAGAAATGGTAGGTAGAGTGAGAGAGGTACTGAAGGAAACAAAAAGTAGGGTCAGGATAGGAGAAGAATCGGGAGAGGTTTTTTGGACGGCAAGAGGGGTGAGACAAGGATGTCCACTAAGCCTCCTGTTGTTCAATTTTCTGACGGCAGATATGGAGGACGAAATGGGAAAAGTAAAATGGGGAGAAGTGGAATTGGGAGGAAAGAAAATCTACACGCTGGCTTACGCGGACGATGTTAGCGAAGGAAGAGGGAGAGATGAAGAGCATGATTGAGGCTAGAAGGATATCTTGAGAAAAAGGGACTGGAACTGAATACCGAGAAGACAAAAATTATGAGATTTAAGAAAGGAGGGGGAAGAATGAAAAGAATGAAGCGGAGATGGAAGGGTAAGAGTATAGAGGAAATCAAGGAGTTTAGGTACCTCGGTTACACATTGCAGAGAAATGGTGGGCAAGAAGCACACATAAAAGAGAGAACAAAGAGAGCGGCAGCGGGAATGGGACAAGTATGGGGGATCGGAAAAAGGAAATTTGGGAAGGATTGGGAAAGAAGAACGTGGGTGTTTGACAAACTGATATGGCCAATAGTAGGATACGGAATGGAAATCTGGGGGTGGAAGGAAAGGGAAGGAGTGGAAAGGATACAAAATAGGTATTTGAAATGGATTCTAGGTGTAGAGAGGAGAACACCAAGCTATATGGTGAGGGAAGAATTGCAAAGAGACAAATTGAGAAGCACGGCGCTACGAAGAGCGGGAAACTTTGAAAGAAGATTAGAGGAGGGGGGAGGAAGCAGATTGGATCGGAAATGTCTAAGGGAAATAAAGGAAAGAGGAAGAGGGAAAAGAGAATTATCTAAGTGGGAGATGGAAAGAAGAGAGGGATTGGAGGAAAGAGGATTAAGGGAGGAATGGAAAAGGGAAGGGGGGAAAGAGGAGGGATTACCGGAGAAGCTGGAGATAAGAGACAAGGAAATTCAGAAAAAAGAAAGATGGGAAAGTATAAAAAACTCGAAGTACAATAAATGGTACGGAAGGATAAAAGGTGAGGGGATTCCAAAATATTTGAAAAAGGGATGGGGGGAAAATAAATGGAGTAGAATAGCCAGATTTAGATTAGGAAATGAGACGAGGGAAGGGAGGTACTGGGTAGAGGAAGAAGAAAGAAGATGTAGGCTATGCAGATATGAAATGGAGACATGGAAACACATATGGGAAAGATGCAGAGATTGGGAAAAGGAGGGGAGAGATAAATGGCAGAAAGCAGTAGACTGGATTTTGGGAGAGGAGGGAGAGGGAAAGGAGTGGATGAGGGAATGAGAAGGAGAAAGAGAGAAAGGAGAGATGAGGAAGGAGGGAGGGAGAAATGAGAATAAATGTATGGTTGAATGGATGGATGGGGGTGGATGAATGCTTGTGTGGTGAGAGAGTAAGGAAAGAAGCCAACGAGAAGCGAGAGATGATGAACGGAAGCGGAAGTCCAACTTAGGATAAGAACTTGGGTTATGGGCTTAGGATAAGAACTTAGAATAAGGATTATGTAAGAATTGATTAACAATAAGAGCGGCGTGAGCGTGCGCGAGGAGGCAGGCGAGGAACAGAAGGCATGAAATGGGATGGGGAGCGAGAGAGAGCGGGGGGTGTAAATGGGGAGGGGGCATAGATGCGGATATATGTACATAGGAAATGCGGGC